AAACGATTCACTGACTTTATATGATTGAGCCAAAAAAGCATTTCTATCTGTGCGGAAGTTGTAACCCCTCTTTCGCTTTGGTCATAATAGAAACATAACCGAATAGCATAAAAGAGAAAAGTCGAGGAAGACAGAAAAATAATCCAAAAAAGCAGACTTTGCAAATCAGATGTTGATTTTAAGAGCTTAAACAAACCGCTTTGAAACTCGCTATGAAACTATACATCAACAAATCACTTCACAAATAACTAATTAAATATATAGATAGTTTGAAATAGGAATGTCTCCATCCGCCAGAATACGACCAATACCTGCCTAAACTTTTCTGAATAATATGAATTCGGGCCTGAGAATTTTAAGTGTCCAAATCCATATTTGAACTCTTAATTATTTGAAAATTTATATCTAAACTATTTTGTTTTTGGGCGATCCCAACATTGACTATTATCACATTAGTCAATATGTATATACCGTTAACAGAAATGAGTCTGGTGCCACGCCTACTGTCCGTTGTTATGAATTGACGTCGTTTAAGGGGATACAAAATTTGAAACAAATGGGTTTTATCTGAGTTATAAAAAGAAATTGGGCCAAATCTCAAAAAAAAGTCGTTTTGAAAACAAAATTAAAAGTAAAAAAAAGAATCTCTCGATTGCTCCCAACAAATCGACTGTCATCGAAGCAAAAATTACCTTCTTCACTTGGTGGCTGAAAATGCTTTTAATAGCCCACAACCACCACACTTTGGTTGCTATTCTAACTAGAAAACTCAGACAAGAGCACTCAGACAAGAGCAGTAGGTTTCGTCTTGGTGTGCAAGCCAGCGGAAGTGGTTGGTGACCTTGAGAGAGGTGAATTGAGTTACCAGCTACAGGTACTATTTACAGACTTTATATTATTGAGCCAAAAAAGCATTTCTATGCGGGCGGAAGATGCAACCCCTTTTGACTTGGTCATAATAGAAACATAATCGAATAGCATAGAAGAGAGAAGTTGAAGAAGACAGAAAACAAAGAATCCAAAAAAAAAAAAGCGGACTTTGCAAATCAGATGTTGGTTTTAAGAGTTTTAAGCCCATTTTGTACAACAACAACACTGAGTTTTTAAACAACATCAAACCAATTCTCCCTTTAGTTTAGTTTGGTCTGGAATCGAATCGAAACAGGAATCACGAGGCAGTTCGCCACTCAAGCTCGATTTGGATCTTTCCATTCTTCGAATCAATAAGGTGAAACTTCTGGTTCATCCTTTTGTTGTTCACCACATCCACCACCGGAATATCCACGTAACCCAGTGTTTCCTGCCCATATCAACAACCAACTTTTAGTTTTAGAAAAGCCAAACCCACTTTGTTAGTGTTACACTGATGAGTTTTGAGTTTGCGTTACCTTGGGATGCAAGAGACCTATCCTGGACGAGGTGCTCAGCACTTCGACGTGCAGCTTCTCTCGGATTGGAGGCTCCTCGAGCATGAAGGTGAACTCCTCTTCCCACCTTGGGTCTCTGTTCTTCTTCACGTGTTTGGTTTTCCTCTCTTCCCCTTTGAAATAGATGCGTACGTAAGGATTGGTGTGGTGCTTTCCTTCAACGTCTTCAGCCGAATGCACTATCACCACAAGCATTCCTCCAGTCGCCGGTGTGCCTTCTGGAGCCTTCTGCACGGATTGCGATTCTTCAAATCCTTTCGGCATTTCTTCCTCCGTGAATGGCTTATACGAGAGCTCAACCTCCAGCTTCCCCCTATACTTGTCAGGCTGCCCATCTTCACCGCCCTCCAGAGTCTTACGCAGTTCCAAGGTGAAGCTTTTATGCTCGTCAGGCACCATTTCTTTCAGCGCTAACACATTCATACCCATCTTATCGTGCTTCCCAACCTGCATGCAGGAGAAACAAAATATATTAACAGAAAGAAACATATATGTATCCTACCTACTCCATTTCACCATGGCATGGAATGGCTTCTTTACCTGTTCCCAGTCATACACATTGAACTCTAGAATCTGCGTCTGGGGATCTCTGACCGAGAATTTGAACTCCTCATTCCATTCAGGATTCAAATTCTTGTGTTTCACAGTTGTCTTCTTAGAAGGGATCTTATCTTCAGAGAGCTTGATTTTCACGTATGGGTCTGCCCCACCCATCAAATCTTTTTTCCTCAGCCCAACAGCCTTCACGACTTTCACATGGACGATTCCAACAGGCCTTCTAAACGCTCTGCAGATTACAAATTAAGATTTTGCTAAGCAACAATGAAGGTTTAAGTCATGGGTTGCTTATTTAAAGCAGAAATAAGGCGGAATGGCATACTTGGCAGGGTCAAGGATTGGAACTACAAGGGTCTTAGGCCAGAGATACATGTTTGCAACTTGATCCTTGATTTGCTCCTGAAACAATTAACGCCGCCATTGATTAGTAAATGAAAGTTTGATCCAGCAGATACGTAAGAGCTAAAAGACCAAACCACTTTCACCAAATAAGAGTTTGAATCTCCAGATACATACATATCAATTTCTGAGTCAAACAAGTCAGGATTCTGAATGATGATATGTAAGAGAAAGATATTAACCTGGACGAATCTGTAGAGGCCAGGGATTGACATAAGATCTGCTCCACCAAGCTTCAGCCCAAAATCAACGTGTGGCTGCCATAGTAGCAAGGAATGGTCAACAACACAAAAGCTGTACCAAAGATCTGATAAAGAAGCTGACTGACTACTACATACAAAAAAAAAGACTCTATATTGAAATCGGTTGAATCACATACCTTCTCCATAAGAGACACATAAATGCTGGCAAAACAAGGGAAACTTGGGACTAATGGCTTGAGAGTGATACGAGGCTGGGCAAAAACTTGTAAATCGACCACCTGAGGAAATGGCATGTGAGTATTGTATAAGGGACAACGATGATTGCTAATATTAAGTAGATCTTTCCTTGGTTTTAGGTTGCATAGGCACTAGCAGGATATCTAACTACCTGAACTGTTGCCTTGAAGCCAAATGCCTTGATAGCAACCAAGATATTGGGATTTGCGGCCCATTTCAAGCATGGTTCCATAATCAACTCTTTCTCATCCGTGAGATAAACTTTCATCCCTGCAAAGAGAAGAATAATAATCGTAAGTCCAAGACCAATTCCCCTCCAGCTCTTAGGTGGAATATGACATTCAAGGATGATAAAAAAGAGGAAAAAACAATTAACCTACCTTGAAATGTAGGAGGTAAAGAACCAAGTGTAAGAGTTTCAAATTCAACAGAGTCAATCTTGTACTTAGGTATCTGCTCCTCGATGATGGGCTTTGCTATATTCTTTGCAGTCTTACAGATGGCCTAGAGGGATAATTGGAGAGACCAAATACTCAAAATCTAGGAAACGAAACACAAGTATGACAGAGAAGATAAGCAGGAGCAAAGTTTAATTAGTTCAAGGTTTGCAGGAACCTTGTCGAGATAAGGCCACATGTACTCGATAAATCTGTTAATCCAGTCAACCTGGTAGACAAGGAAGATATACAAGGAAAATCATGAGAGGCAGAGAGAGCAGAAGAAGAAGATAGAAGAAGAATGTAGAAGATTGCGGGTATCACATACACGATCGAAGTCCGGATTCTTAACCCAAGGAGGTATATCTGGAAGCATCCTTAGCATAGCTTTGGGGTCTTGCTCAGCTATGGATTGAATTTGAGGATCCTAGAATAAAGCATACACAGATGTAGTTGTTCAATCCATTTGCTGATTTTCACAAAACAAAAACAAAAAATGGGAAAAGGAATCAGAGAAGAGGACCTTGACGTCGTTGGGCTGCAAGTAGACGAAAAGTAAGTATCCAATAACAAGTCCCATGGAAATCCCAACTCCAAATCCGCAAAACCCTAGAATAGTGCTGAAGAAACCCATCTTTTTTTGGACTGAATCAGATCAAAGCAGACAAAACCCTAAGAAAAGAGATCCCGATCAGGAAGGAATGTATATTCTTCCGAGAAGATATGATTAAAACCTCCCTTGCTTTTTAACGTGGCAGCTCTCCGATCTGTGGTAGAATTACAGAGATGATTGGTTTCTATTTTGACTAATCGGAAGATTGACTGAGATCCATGGACGTGGAAATTGGTGGAGATGAACAGATGTCGCCACAATCTCGTCAAAGCGCTACCAAAGCAATATCTTTCCTCTATGTGTGTGTGTGAGTGCAAAAGACAAACGCTCTCTCTCTCTCTCGTTTGTTTTATTTTTATCATTTTTTTATTTTATTTTGATAGTTTGTAATAAAATTATTATCAAATTTTATTTATTTATTATTTAGGATTATTCTGTATTCGAATTCGCCTCTTTGGGGAAAGAAACCAATCTCTTTCTTTCGTGATACGGTTTCTTAACAGATTGATGCTACTAGTACTACTAAATAATTAAAGAAAATCGCACTCCATCTCTCAGAACTTTCCACTTTTAATAACATGTTTTGACCCCATCCCAATCACTTACATGATACACCTCTCAACTAATACGGCAATTTTATGGTTATTTGTTCACAAAAGCATATGTATAATGTAACTAAGAAAATGACTTAATATGAGCAGTAAAGCATCTGAATCTGACCCAAATGTAAAAGTTTTGAAATTGAAGGGTCTCGACTGAAACATGACCTAAATATGAGCAGTAAACATCTGATCCTGGGCCAACGTATGTGGGCCAAGGCTAACAATCGATGGGAGCCCATAATCACATGACCTGTCACACTTTAATTGGATAGTAGCGCAACAAGAAGTAATCCAGTTGTTGGTAGTCCACGGTAGGGCTGAACACATCTGAACATGGCTCTCGTAAAGAGACAAAATGGCATGCCGACACTCCGTTCGCCACGCAAATTCGTTCGGTTTTTGATGATTTTTTTTTCCCTCTAAACCGGGACGTGAACCAAAGGACCCACACAGAGACACAAAGGTTACGTAAGAAACGGCGTCGCTTTTACGTTTCGGCGGCAACGAAATCAGTCTCCCGCCCAGAACCAGAAGAGGAGATGTTTTGCTTCGCTATTGCCTAATCAGTTGTTGTGTCTGGTTTGTTGTACTGAGAAATTGATTGAATTGATTTGATACTCTGCGTGCGTGAGATTTGAAAATGGAAAAGCACCAAGAGGATCTTGATCTGCTTCTGTCTCTTGACGATAGGGTTCTTGAAACTCCTCCCGATTCTCCCTCTGCTCCACCCGGTGAGCCGTCTTTTCACGAACAAAAAAAAAACACGATCTGTATCTCTGGTTCGATCAACCACTTGCATAATAGATCTGGGTTCCTCTTTTTTCCATCCCAATTCGCCCAAATTATTGTCAAGTTTGATGATTTTTTTTTTTTTTATCTCTCTCTCAGATTGATGATATACAGTATATTTTAATTCGGAGGCTTTTGTTGCTGTATTATTTGGCGCAGTATATCTGACGGATGATGAATCCCCGAGACGTAGGGCTCACGCGGACTTGTCTGACTTCAGAAGTGTCGTTCAAGATTGCCTTGACTATGATCCTAAACCACTCGCCAAAAATACTACTAAGCTTAAAAGCTCCAATCTCAACGACATTGAAAAGTTTTCTGGCTTGCGCATTAGGTAATCTCAGCTTAAGCATTCCGGACCACATCTTCTCGAATTTGCTCCTTGGGCTGAAATTTCACATATATCATCGATCAAACTCACTTATTAAGTCCCCAATGTATATAGTTGCAGTTTCTGTTTTAATTTTTATCCAATCTTTTGGTCTCTTGTAGGAATCAGTTACTTAGCCCTGCAGAGATTAATGATCGGTTTTCTGATATTCGTTTCGTCCGGTTGCCAACAATAAAGTAAGTTACAGTTTTTTTTAAGATAAATGAACATAGACGAGCTAGTTGCTGAAAGAGCCTGACACCAATTTTGTGGCTAGGAACTTGCTAATGGGTGACAAACTCTCCGGGTGCTGGGCGACAATGGGAGTGCTAACAGAGAAAGGACAACCCAAAACAAGCTCAATTGGTCAGCCTTATGGGATATGGAAAATCGGTAGCTTAAACCAAAACACTGTCTCCTTGTTCTTGTTTGGTGATGCTTACAAGAATTATCAGACCGAAATGGCAGGAACGGTTTTCGGTTTGTTTAACTGCTCAGTTCGCAAGGACAAAGTGGTAAGCAATCCCCATCAACCTTTGCCTGTGAAGCAGCCTGATGCCTTTTTAAACTAAAATTCACCTTTTTAAGCATTCAGGGAGGTGACTTCTCATTAAGTGTCAACTCTGCTAAACAAATGGTAAAACTTGGAGTTTCGGCTGATTATGGAGTCTGCACAGCGAAGCGGAAAGATGGAACAACTTGTACATCTGTTGTAAACAAGTAAGCTACCTTGGCCATTGCATATCACCGTGTATTGTTTCTGAATGCTGACTTGTATACTTTGAATTTTGTATCAGACGCCAAGGAGCATTCTGCAACATTCATAAACTGGTACACATTGGTTCTGCCTTAGTCTTGTTTTCTTGCTTCAAATGCAATGAAGCATGTTTTTCACTAACTGTGAATTTTTCCACAGAATGCATCAGACAAATTTGTTACAGCGAGAACTGAACTCAAAGGCGGGTATGTTTATGCTACCGAGTTGTGTTGGGCATATACCTTCTTCTTCTTTAGTGGGAATCTTGCATGATTCTTGGGAGTGTCTTTTCTTAATCTTATTTCAGGAACCTGAGAACGTCTTTCAGAGATCCAAGATCCCAAGGGATTTACACAGTTGAGCCACCAGCAGATAGGAGCGGAAATAAAAAGGCTACTCAGCCTGTCCGAGTACTATCAGTGGAAGGTCTCCGAAAGGCTCTAAGGTTGGAAACTCCCATCAAGTCTTTTTTTTTTTTTTACATAACGAAACAGAATCGGCTTGCCAAATCTAATTGTGAATATGCAGTACCGCAGATAAAGTGACGCCTAATGTACACTCACAAGGAATACGTTTCCTGAACGAGATGGCCAGTATGCTTCTTCTTCTTCTTTCTGCTTATTGATACAAAACATTTTAAAAGCTTATAAGATGCAGCGTGACTGATCTTGGACTTACAGGACAAACGGCTTTGAAGAACGCTAACAAAAATTCTGAAGCTGTGAACAAGTCTGTAGAGAAGAGGTACCATCTTCCTGATTTGTTATCTTCCCGAGTTGTTGTACTAATGTAAAAAGAAAACGTATGATGTTCTGGATTTGTTCTCCCCAGGAAAGCATTGGCAAAAGAAACGCAAGTGAAGGTTGAGCCGAAGAGAAAGAGAACAGAGCACGGCCGTGAAAAGAGGGAAACTCCCGAGAACGTTACCGGAAAAATGATGGTCCTAGATTTCTGCAGCTCTGACGAAGAATGAGTGAGTCCTCTCAACATTGTCAAACATTTGATTTAGGCCTTAACGAATATTCAAATTCTGCGGCTCTAGCCATATGCAGAGCATTGTTGTCGAGATATAGATATTTGTTGTTCTTCTCATAGTCATGAAAACAATAACCAGTCATACAACCACTTTAACCAATATTTTCTTCTTGTTTCTCAAATGTTCACTTAATTGCATGCTTATAGGCGAACTCGAAATGTTTAGAGCACATTTCTATTTTCTAGAAGCGATTAATTATGAATAAAACAAAAAGAAGCCACATTGAACTACATATGTATCATGCATGTTTGTTATATAGAGGAGTAGTCACCCACATAATGAACAAAAGAATTTCCGGACGCAAAACAGATTTCCGCATTAGGGTGGTCATAAGATGCCTTCAAAAACAGATTTCCCCTGAAACTTGTCCACCCTGGAACTCAGAAACGCAAAGCTCTTGTCGAGACGCGCTCTTCTCATATCCAGATTCCCTAACTTGCCAGCCATTTCCGTCACTCTCTCTCTCCACTCCTTCATCTCCTTCTCCTTCTCCCTCAGATCTTTCCCCTGTTTCTCCACTTCTTGTCTCGCAAGCAACACATCCCGTTCACACACCTCCTTCTCCATTAGGCCCATCTTGTGTTGGTCGTAGTGCTTCACCGCCTCAACGATGTCCTCCAGGACGGGCTTGAGCCAACCTACTTTGATTTTCACGGACTCAACGTCTCTAACAATCGCTAGCATTTCCACAACTCGGTTCTCCGTGAGATGCTTTAAGGGTGTCGTCTGGAGTTCTAAAACCACCGAGGAAAGCATGTCCAGGTAGTAGGATCGCGTGGCAAGCGAATGTGTTTTTGAAGCGGATGCAATGTCACCGTGCTTGTCGATGATTTGCTCAAGAGTGCCAGAGACGCTCGCTCTTACTTTGTAGTCTCCCACAGAAACGGAAGACTCGGATAGTATGGACTGTATCTCGTAACTTGGTTCCTTCTTCTTAACTATTATTCCTTTCATGCGTGAGATCTCTGAGTGACTGAAGCTCTGCGAGTCATCTGGTAGCTCCGGAGGCTCGTTGCTTTGCTTATCTTGTACCTCTAGTTCCCTTGGCGATTTACGGGATTTGTGATGAACGGGCTGCATCAAGACGAGAAGAATATATAATTTTGTGTCAATATCAGCTCTTTGTTGTGCTTTGAAACTAACATGAAAGCCATGAGACAAAGGGATACACACACACATACCGTGTTGCTTCCAGATTTCGGTGTGATTTCAGGGTAAAGCCAAACAGAGTTATCGTCATGATCATCCACAAATGAAAATTTATCGTCATCTGAGCTCGCGGACTCATCCAGTTGATCATAATGTTCTTCCTGTTTTGTGGGTGTTTCATATCCGCGGCGACCAGGCTGAGATAATTAAGCGGCCAAAACAGTCATTAGGCATGTGCAGCAATACAAAGATGTGAAGGTAGAGAGTAGAGATCGAGCAGTACCGTAATGGGTCTAGAGAGTGGCCTTTCTTGAGGTGACAAAATAAGTTCTGGATAGAGTAGAACTGATTCATCGTCGGTCTCAATGTAGACCGACTCAGCTTTGCTCCCAAGATAATTGTAGGCCTGAGATGGTCTTTGAGTCATCTCAAAGTACGTTTGTTGAGTTTGTGAGATCTTCTCCCTTTGATCAGGTGACCTTCCTCCATAGACTAAAGTCTCTGGCCTACTTTCATGTACTCTTGGCCTTGTCTCCACGGTCCTGGACTGGTGTTTTGGCGGCGTCCTAGGCCTAGCTTCAGCTGTCCGAGGCTTTTGAAGAGCAGCGCTGTCAAGGAATCTGTGGGATATTGGCTGTGTTTGAGGAATCCTAGGGGTGGGCTCTGGCGTCTTGGACCGCTGTTTTGGAGTCATTGAAAAAGGTTCAAAGTAGCTAGGTTGAGGCTCTGGTGTCTTGGACCTTGGCCCGGGGGATCTTGCCCTGAACTCAGGTGACCTCCCCCTATGTTGTCCAGTCCTCGGCCTAGTTTCTGGCGTTTGGGGCCTCCTTCCTATAGCAGCAGCAGACTCGTGTATGGGGGTCCTTGGTCTATTATCAGAGATGTTGGATCGCCGTTGAGGAGTCGTCGGCCTAGTTTCAAGTGAAATAGGGTCCTCTTGGTAAGGCCACGGCCTAGTATCAGAGCGGTGTTGGGGTGTGCGGGGCCTATGCTGAGGCGTCCTAAGAGGGTGTTCAGGAGTCTTAGGCTGGTTTCCAAAGGGCCTTGGGGACATGTCATCATCCTCACCTCCGCGCTGATCAGTCTGGCAGGAGGAATAGCAAACATGTATATATATATATGAGTGAGAGTCACAAGAGAAAGCATATATAGCGCTATTCTTTCTTTGATAAGAAGGAATGGGACCTTTACCCTTCTTGCAAAATAGTCTCCCCCTGAAAATCCAGCCAGAGAAGGCGAGATGGGGAGCGAGTCCACATTTTTGGCAGGCTCGTTCTTGAGTTGGGATGGGCGTCCATGTAGCGGGGAAAGGCGGCTGAAGAAGTTGCCATTGGTGTGATCAGCAGTGGAAGGTGAAATGTCTGACTCAACCTTCTTCTTGGCGAAATAGCTGGCAAGAGGCGATCTGCTTCCACGAGCTGGACTCCCTGGGGGAGTGTCCCTGCTTGGAGTTCTCTTACCAAACCCTGACACACAAAAAAAACAATGTTTCATCATCAGCGAGAGATTCTTTCTTGATGACAAAATTTGACCCCATTTATTAATAGAAAAGTGTTCATATATAGTACCAAAGAGTTTCTTTTCCTTCTTGTGGACATCTGCCGAGTTTAATCTCTCGAAACAGATAGCAGTACACTCATGGAAAGGATTGCCTGCATTGGAGCAACCTGGAACTACTTTTCCAGACACCAATTCCATCTCACAAACTTACAGCAACTCTATAAATAAGATCTCTTTTATGCAACAGAACCTGTCGACATACAAAATCCAAAAAACAACCAAAAAAAAGTGAGTCAACTCTTTTGGAATTTTGATTTGGTGCAAAAATCACAGAGTATGAATGATGTTTTTTCTTCCCCTTAATTATGTTTACTAACAGAGAAAGGATTGACCATCTTCCATGAGTTGGTTTAATTAGCACACAAATTGGAGTCAAACATGACACAAATACTTATCAGATGGATTGTGATGTTGATGATCAATTGCAAAATCTCACCATCCTATTATATGTTTCCCATCACACAATAAATACTAAAATTAAACTGCAAAAATATATGCATGCAAATGTAAAAAGTATAAACAAAAGGTCAACGGAGGAGAGATGGATGGGATACCTTGAGGGTTTTTTTGAGGAAAGGATCGAAGATGCCAGTTGAAGAAGAAATGTAATGATTTATCTTATTCTTATCTGTATAGAGAGAGAGAGACAGAATGAAACTCTGGCTTTGCTTTGTGTGTATATATATACATACATACATAGAGGCATCTCTAGTATCGCTGACTTTGACCGCCACTAAAATTATTATTATTAACAGTTTCAGCCGAGACTTCGTCAATTCGCCATTTCTTTTATTTTATTTACATATATATTTCTTGTCAAAGTAGAATATAATATAGATCGAAAGGGTTCTTCTTCAGTATAAGCAGCAAGGAATCAAAGATTGAAGCTGAGGGAGGACTCGGGAAACTTTCATTTCAATTGTGTTCTCACTCCATTCTCTTTCTTCTCCTGTATTTAAATCTTGTTATACTAAAATTTATCTGTTTATATTCTCTATCATATAATTAGACTTCTCGCTAATCTATACTTTAGGGAAAGGGTAAGAAAGAAAAAGAAAAAACAAGAGTAAAAAATCCAATGCTATGCAATTAAGCAATGTATTGGAGATTTCAGTTTGACAAAGAATTTGGAGAAAGGTCTTCTCTTCTCAGAAAGGACAAACCCGTCGCATTCCAGTTAATTTGTCTTTGTATCGCTCTTTATTGGGCTTAATGTCTACCAGCGTTTACTCTCTTATTCTCACCCATAGCCCATTTATTCTTCGTACACCCAAAGTTATTTACTTTTTCTTCTGACCCAAACTAACCACCCACAGTTTTAATGATTTCTCCATTTCCACAAAACAGACAGACATACAAACAACGATAATAATGTCGACTTTAGTAGTTTTAGTGTGGACTCGGAAGACTGCGGGTCTCATTGCAAAAAAAAAAAAAAAAATTAACACAAAATACATATATGTAGAAACTTCAAAGCATTGGTGTTGCGTCTCCTAACAAATTTCCGACGCTCTTTTCAAACATATATGACCCACAGGAGGACTTGGTCTTTTACTCTTTTAAAGAAATCGAAATATTGAGACAGATCAAATGAGCTTTGTTATAAACAAAGTATAAATAATACTAATACATCAACAACAAAGTGAGAGAGAATCACACGGAAAGCATTTGGAACAGAGACTCCTCCATTCATGAATCATGATCCTATCCTATACTGGTCGGTTTCCTTTTTCATTTCTCGTTTAAGAAAATTCTCAATCAGCCTCCAACGGCTACTTTCTCCAATGATCAGAAGAATTCTAAAAAATGATTGATTTATTTAGAGGTCGTCGTCGTCGACAAGGACAGCTTCGCCGTCGAATTTAAGGACCTTGCCCTGAAACAGCTCCAGATTCTTCTTCACATTGGATTCCTTCATCTCCAGATGCCCCAGCCTACCCGCCATCGCCGTCACCCTCTCTCTGCACTCCTTCGTCTCCTTCTCTCTCCTCCTCAGCTCCTCCCTCAGCTCCTCCATCTCCACTCTCCCCTCCCTCATGCCCTTGTCGCACTCCTCCTTCTCCATCTTCGCCGCGTCGTACTTCCCCAAGTACCCCACCGCCTCCTCCAGCTCCTTGACGGCTGTTTTCAGCCACGACACGTCTATCCTCACCGAATCCATGTCTTTCACCACCGCCGCCATCTCCGCCACTCGCGTCTTCCTCAGGTCTCTCAGCGCCGTCGATCTCAGCTCCATCACTGCCGCCGCCAGTGACTCCAGGTAAAACGACCTTGTCGATGTCGATTGCAGCTTCGACGACGCCGCGATGTCTCCGTGTTTCTCCAGTATCGTCTGGAGCGTGCCCGAGACGCTCTGCCGCACCTTGTAATTGGCGACGGACACGTAGGCCTCTGAGACTACCGACTGTATCTCTGCTTCCTTATTTCCTGCCTCCTCCTCGTAGCTCTCAAGTCCGCGCATTCTCCTCATCTCCTGCACCGTGAAGCTCTCAGACTCGTCCGGCAGCTCCGGCGGCTCGAACTGCCTGTCTTGCTGCTCGTAGGAAAAGGTATCGGCCGCTGTGATCTGGTATTTGTAGTGCACCGGCTGCACATAACACAACATCTTTTAGCACAGGAAAGTCGTAATCAATCATTTTGGAAGGGAGTATTTTCTTCATTTTTACACTTATGGTTGAACAAAAAAAAAAACACCGCACCGTGCTGCTCCCTGAGACGCCCCTGGAACGATGTCCAGTTGCAATCTCAGGGAAGAGGTAGGTGGAATGGTTGTCTTCGTCGTCGTCGTCGCTGGATGAGTAGTAGAATGGTGGTGGTGGAGAGCGGCTTGTAGCTCCATGAACAGGACTCATTGGAGGGCTGTTACGCGGTGTCACATCTGCATCTGCCTCCAAATGATCTTTCCCGTTGTAGTATCTCTGAGACTGCAACTTATATTACAAGAGACAAAAATCAGTCAAGAGAATAATTTAAAAAATGAACAAAAGGAGGTTTGGAGTAGAAATGCACCCCCACCCTTGTGTGTGGCGGGCTTCGGGATGGATGAAATGGGCTCCAAGGAGCGCTCTTCCGTGGTGTTACATGGCCCTCCTCTGCCTCATACCTTTCTCTACTGTAGTCTCTCCCTCGGTCATGCTGCAGATACAACAACTGAGTGAGTGAGTGAGTTTTGGATCTGAATCGCAAGAATTTGTTACAAAAAAAAAAAAAAAAAAACAAGTTGAGTGAGTACCGTGTTGTAGGGAGCTGGAGAGCGGCTTCTGGAGGGGTGAAAGGGGCTCACATTGGCCTCTGCCTCTCTGCTAAAGTCGGTAGACCTCCTCCTACGGCGATCAGGCTGCAAATCAGAGACAAATCAACCCCCCAAAACGTTATGTGTCCCATGTCATCATCGATCTTGGGAAGAATCAAGAAGCAGAAATGATGAGGTGAGTACCGTGCGGGTTCTGGCAGATCGAAAAGGGCTCACAGAAGCGTTGCTCCTTGGGGTCACGTCGGCGTCAGCCTCATAAGAAATGCCCTCTGCTCTTTCTTTGCCCTGATCTCTAGGGCGCTCCGGCTGGAGTATGGAACTAAGGATCATCAGAACCACGAGAGATGTACTGTGAATTTTTGTTTTCTAAGTAGAGGAGAGTACCGTGCTATATCTGTAGACAGGAGGCCGATGGTGGGAATTGGGGACACGTTCAGAGCGTAGCTGTTGTTGTTGTTGTTTCCAGTGAGTGGTATGGTCATCGGAGATTGGGAAGGCGTACTCTGACTCCGATCTTTTAATGCCGATATAAGAAACCGGCGAAGATCGGCCGTCGGTGGGATGAGGAGGGCTCGAAGGATTGCTCTTGCTCTCACTTTTGTGACTCAACAACCCTGCACACATACAGACACCACTTGAGTTTCCTTTACGTTTAGCCACCATCTAATCTAATCTCACCTTTTAATAAGAAGAAAAAACAAAAAAAAAAGTGACCTGCTCTTTTTCCATACTTCTTCTCCCTGTTGGAATTGAAGAAATCCATCCTCGGATTGGTATGTAATTTGGTATGTATGTAAGCCTGCGTGCAAATTTGTATCAGTCACACTTAACTGAATATATATATATATTCGTGTAGAGACAGAAAGTACCTAAAAAATATGAACTAGCCGCCGGAGAAGACAGAAGTCTAACTACTCTACTCGACTCTAGTCTTAATATTATGGATGGGAGTATAATAACAACGTGACAATGACAATCACGGTCCTATATTAAAATTTGTGGCATTTGCTGTCTGTATAATTGAATTGATGACATTCCAACTCTCACACTGACCTGGTCAATTCTGGCAACCTTTCTTTCTTATTTCTTTTGAAAAATCTGACGACAAAACTATTGAGGAAAATTAAACACACACGACCAAAAACGTCACAAGGAATCAACCATCCCGCCATATTGGATTAGTGACTCTCTTTTTTTTTGTCGGCATTGTTACCAACCTCTCTAATATTGATCGTCTCTTTTATGCATTATTTTCTTTAAAATACTAACGGGCTTTAAAATGGGCCAAATTAGGCTTACTCATCCGAGAGTTTGACCAAATGGCCCATGAGGAGGGGTCTGAAAGATAAACCCTAACCTTTGTTTTGTGTTAATCCGTGTGAGTTTCTTCTGGGAGTATCGTATCGATGGCGACTCGGCTAAAGGAGATCGTGAAGAAGTACGGGAAAGTAGCGCTGGGGGTCCATTTCTCCGTCTCCGGCGTCTCAATCAGTGGATTCTACATAGCCATCAAGAACAACGTCGATGTCGAGTCGGTCCTGGACAAGTACCAAATCCCTTGGTTCTCCACCAAGGATCGCCTCGAGCAAGATTTGGCTACGAGCGAGAGCGATAACAAGACCAAACAGCTCGCCAAATCGGCCGGCGGAGCCTTAGCGCTGGCGGTTCTGTGCAATAAAGCCCTCTTTCCGATTAGAGTGCCCATCACGATGGCTCTCACTCCCCCAATCGCCAGATTCCTCAGGCACAGAAATATCCTCAAGACCGGCGGCGGATGACTCTCTCTCTTCCTTTCATTATCTGTCTATGTTTTTTATGTGCGTGTTTGTTCGAAATCATGTGGAAAGATGTCGTGTTAGAGAAATTTGAGATATATTGTTGACTGATGCTTACAATAAGGAATCCCAGATTTACCAATATTGAAATGGACTTTCACACCATTAGCATTCTCCTCCATTCTACTTAATATTTGCAGACAAAAAAAAAATACTGTCCAAAGCTTTCTTTTGCTTGATACAGCGTATGTCCGTGAGAAGAAACGAGGAATCCTGGGACCAGTTGGAAAGTATATCAAAGTTGTTGACTAGATTGGTTAAAAGAAGCCCAAGAGTTATTTATGGATAATAAAAGCCCGGCCCATAAGAGTGGATTTCGACATCTTGACAGTTTCGGGGTCTCATCGGAACTTTCCAAAATCTATCGAAGATGATCGTTTGCGTCTCCGTCGTCGGCCACCAGGTCTGCCTCCGCTGACTTTTTTAAAACATTCCGAATTTTTCCGATATGTTGATTGTTTCTGACTTGGATCCGCAAACAGAACAATCCGCTTTACATACAGAGCTTCACGGATGGTGACGATGCCCTCAAGCTCCACCACATCGTTCATTGCTCCCTCGATGTCATCCAAGAGCGAGGTCCTTTCTTTTATCCTCCTCCCTCGATGTTCGTTCCTTTCTCCAAAAACAACCAAAAAAAAAGAATTCCCAGACAATTTTTATCTTTTATTATTTCCGAGTCTGATTTTCTTGTCTGCATTTCTTCATCTTATTGTTGTGTCCTTCCTTGAGGTATATATATATATATCAGAGGGTAATGTCCTTTTGTCTCTGAAACGTGTCAATCTGTTTCTTTAGTGAACAATCCAAAAAAGTCTGGCTCGATATTGAACGAGGCATTTCTTGGCCTGCTTTATCCTACACTGAACTACAAAGTGTAAGCACTAAGCAGTCTCACTGTACAATACCTTCACACTCAGATCTCATGATACTCCTTTTTTGGCTCTTTCTTTTTCTCTCTTCTCCTGCAGATATGGTTACTTGACTAATACCAAAGTGAAATTTATACTGGTCACAACTGATTTGGATGTCAATGACATCGATGTGACAAGTGTAAGTATCTTTCATCTTCTCAGATACTGCTTAATTTCGCATCAAACCAAGGCTTTTTTTTTCCATGACTTGCGACACTACATTTCATGCTCTTTCTCTATCATTTACTAGTTCATGCTCTTCTAATTGTGTTTGCTGGCCTGTAGAGTGTTCGTTCTTCGTACCACCAATCTATGAAAAAGAGTTTCATTTTTTTTTTGTATTGCCCTTATTTTCTACAGTTCTTCAGGAAGTTCCATGCTGCCTACGTGGATGCAGTCTCAAACCCCTTCCATGTCCCTGGCAAAAAGATAACCTCAAGAACCTTTGCACGTACTGTAAGCAACATCGTCGGATCATACGGTTTGAACTGAACCTCTCAGTTGCTATTTTGTAGCTCAAAATTTGTGTTTATTGAGCATTGAGGAAATGTCATTTCTTTATCATCATTTGTTGTTGTTCATATTAACACTGGAATTGCTGTAAGAAGAACTGTCGGTTCTTCACATGTTAAGACATGAATGGAAATTGAAGTTTGGTCATTGATGTAAGATATGTTGAGCAAGTAGGGACCTTCCCAACCCAAAATTTTCCTTAGCTCTTCTCCCTTTTTTTTCTGTTTCTTCTTATTGTTTCTCTACCGTTTTGCATTATTCTTATCTCTTCATAAATTAATGACTTTATACCATCTATCTTTGGTGTTATGATTTCTTTTTCGATTTGTAGTCTAATATATTTGGTTACAAAATGGAAAAATTTGCCACATAATAATGACCTTGAACCCGGGGGAATTGAAAACTAAAGGGACCGGTGTGAGTCTGTCACCTACCTAACACTTTGGCATCACCACGCCAACATAAGCTACCCGTGGCTCCTGATCCAAGATCTGTAACTAGTCTAGCTGTATTGATTATTGCCTGGGAAATGAAGCAAAGCAAATTCTAGTTTTGTTTCCTAACACTGTGTTAGTAGGTGTGAATTGTAAAAAGAAGAATGATCACGAGAGTCGTTAGCACTTCTCTATACCTCCTTAGTTTTTTTTTTTGGTTGTTAATTTGACAACTCTGCTCTTTGATTTGGTTTACACAATAGAATAGAAACTTGAGAGATAACCAAAGGAATCGATCAAAGGACTTTGTGGGGTGTGTTCTGTACAAAATGCATATAAACGGAGAGGGGAAGACGTACATATACCAATGTCACAGGTTTGAGCTAAAGCCAAAGTCTAAAGTTTTACCGTAAGCAGAGAGAGACCAAGAACTGAGAGAAGACTATGAATTCACTGACGACGGCGGCCGGGGAGTGGAGACCCAGAAACGGGACCACATCAACGTGGAGCCAGCTCTCTACGGTCGACCCCACCACTGCACCTACCACTAGTCCTCCTGCCGTGATTGCAGCTGCTTTCCCTGCACCAAGCCAACACAGAAAGCTGCGGCGTGAGGGGTGAAGCTTCCTTCAGATGAAGAATGTATATACATATATATATATATAGAGTATACCTAGCTTGACGTTCCTTTTGGTCATGAAGTACAGGGAAGCTCCAAAGCTGGTGGCCAATATCAGACCGGGCACATCAGCAGCGGCATAAGGCACCCCGGAAGACTCTATGGAGCTCCCGTTAACGTAAGTCAAGGCCATCATTGCTCCATAGACTCCGGCTTGTATTCCAAGATTGCTAGTGGATGGCATATCAACAGAGACAGGTGGATTCTTTAGCCATTGAGACACCCTGCCTGTTCCCAGAGGGTTAGTGGATTTAACGTCGGCGTAGCGAATGTTGTTGCTCACAACTTTGCCTGCTCGGCGTTGGTTTAGGCTCTGCATCAGCAGCATGTCATATGCAGCCTCCGCCTGAGACAAGGAACAAAAAAAACATTCTTTACCAGTAAAAATTCAAGAGCAAGAAAAACTAACTATCTCCATGATTCTTCATCGCGAGATTCTCCTCCCGAAGCTAAACAAACTCCGATAATCCTAATTTGGGAACTCTGAGAGAAACTTGAAGAAAAGAATGAAGAAAGCAGACTAAGCTGCTGATGAAATCCAAAGAGTCACCTGGGAGATGGCGTTGGGGTCGTCCTTACGGGAAGCAAGGATGGACTTCTTGGCGCGAAGTATTTCGTCGAAGGAAGCTCCTTCAGAGACGCCGAGTACCTTGAGAGCCGTCTCCACAGACATGTCGAAAGGCGGAGAATCGTCAGCGCGAGAACTGGCTCTAGGAGGCGCCGCGCATCGCCGCCGCCGCCGCGTAGGCAGGAGAATCGCGGCCGGGTGATGAGTCTTGCCGGAAGGAAAGAAAAGCGAATTGAGCTTTGTGGGAAGATGGAGCGGGTGGAGAGGAACATCGGCGGCTGAGCTAAGGCGGCTGGGTCGGGCTGCGGAGAGAGCTGCGGCTGCCATTCTCTCTCTCTCTCTCTGGTTTGGTTTGGTTTGGTTCGTCTCCACCGAAACCAAAACTTGACGACTGTTGTTAGATTTTTTATTTGAGGGATGTGATCTTTCTCTTGTCCACCATCAGATTGAGTCTAAGTTGTACGGCTTGTATCACAGCCGTCAGATGGGAACAGCGGACGGTAGATAGACCTATATAATTCTCTCTATGCTAATCATTTATCTTTATGTCATCTCTTTTAAACCGGGTCCAATCTACACAATTAGAATCGTGGAAGCAATTGGCAAATTTATACTTACCCATTTCATTTTCTTCTTGTTTTTTTTTTGTTTGTTTCTTATAAGTATGTAAATTGAATAATCTTTCTTTTGCTTTTGTTTTTTTTTCCATGAAACGTATTTGTGGTCCATGTCTTGTAACTTGAAGGAAAAATATTCTTTAACTGTGATTAATATTGAAAATGATATAGAAGGAAATCAAATATGAATAATTTAGAAGTATTGCTAATAGAAATAAAATACAAAATTTGATTATGAATTTATTTGATATCTATGTTCATCACCATGTGACATTATTTCTGCACATTACTACATATACTTACAAGCTCAAAACACAGTGAGAATAAGAGAAGAAAAAAATGTTCTGGTCACTTTGTCATGAGTGTTAATCTCATCTCAAACACAAAAAGTGATGTCAGTTTTTCAAGAAACTACCTCCAACAGTAAAGTTGGTCCTTGTAAGACTAATGGAACAAACTGAAGATAATTTAAAGATGTTTTGAAAAAGAAAATAAAGTACATATGGTCCAAGAAAATGATTATCAGGCCAAAGCATTACGATAAACAGGGAAGAAAGTTGTAAATCTTAGACTCTCATCTTCAACGGCCTGAAAAGCGTCACGAACGACATCCGGTAAGCCATCCTTGAGTTAGAGCGCAACAACATTAAGAGAGATGCAACAGTTTCAAGTATTACTCCATGCACATGACTGCAACTGGTTAGCAAGAGAAGGGATTAAAGCGAAACTCAGGTCTTTGATGAAAGAAAGTTTATATTACACAGAAAAAGTGATGTGCATAGAGTGAAATCTCTCGTCACTTACAGAAATTATGGTTCTGAAAAGAATGGTATAATATGAGTAATCACAGGGAGAATAGGGTTTAGGAGCAGCGGCGGCTGGAGAGGAGCATCGGCGGCAGGATATCCCTGATAGAAAACTCTAGGGAGAATCCTTGCTGTATGACCAACAAGCTTCATAACAGCTGTAACTTCCCTCCCGTTGCTTGTCATAGAAAAATAGGAGCTTCGGCGGCTGAGCTACGGCGGTTGGGTCGGGCTGCGGAGAGAGCTGCGGCTGCCATTCTCTCTCTCTCTCTTTCTCTCTGGTTTGGTTTGGTTTGGTTTGTCTCCACCGAAACCAAAACTTGACGGCTCTTGTTAAATTTTTGATTTGAGGGATGTGATCTTTTTCTTGTCCACCGTCAGATTGAGTGTAAGCTGTACGGGTTGTATCACAGCCGTCGGATGGGAACAGCGGACGGTAGATAAACCTATATAATTATCTCTATGCTAATCATTTTATAGGTCTTTTAAATTGGGTTCAATCTACAATTAGAATAATGGAAACAATATAAATTGGCAAATCTATACTTACCCATTTAATTTCTTTCTTGTTTTTTTTTTCTATTTCTTTGATAAGTAAGTAAAATGGATAATCTTTATTTGGTTGTACAACTTGTAGAAACAATATTCTTTGTCCGTAATTATATTGAAAACGAAATAAAATGAAATCAAACCTATTATATAATAGAAGAGTTTTCATTCTATATAGAGTGTCCACATAAGCAGGAAAAAAAAACTAAAATTAATGACCAAATAGTTCACACATTTTTAAATAATATTATTTTAATTTAATAAAAAAAGAAAAATACTAATACTAAAGTTAGTGATTAATTAATTCACACATTGTTTCTAATCATTATTTTTATTAAGAAGAAGATGAGTAAAATCTGAAAAAGAATAAGAATAAATAGTTAAAGAAAACTACGATGATGAAAAAGAATAAGAAAAATAGGAGAAGAAATCAAAATATAAAGAAAAACATGTAGATGAAAACGAAATAGAAAAAGAAGAAGAATACATATACGAGATAAGTAAAAATAAGAGACGAAACAAAATAAGAAAAAAATACGATGAAGAAAAATGAAAAGAAGAAAAAAGAAGAAGTAAGAAGAAATAGAAGTCGAAGAAGATGAAGAGAAAGATGAAGAAAAAAAGATAAAGAAGAAGAGAAAGAAAAATACAAAGCTGACGAAGAGAAATTTCAGAAAATACAAGGACAAATATATTAAAGATGACAAAGGAAACCGAAAAATGAAAATAACAAATTATGATAATATGAATGTAGAGAAGGTATTGGTGCAGCGGCAAGGTAACTTTGACGGACACCATTGCAGTATGCATTGGATAGCGTGGAAACAAATGTGTAGAGATAAAACAGATGGGAGAATCGGATTTCGAGATATCGAGGATTTTAACATGGTTTTATTGGCAGAACAGTTATATAGGCTGATTGATACACTAAATCTATTGTTTGCACATGTGTTTAAAGGACAATACTTTCGGAGCACAAGTCCTTTGGACCTAATATACATAATTTATAAGTATTGCTAGTAAAAAAAGTGAGATCGTTTAGTTAAATAAAAATACAAAACTTGGTTATGAATTGATTTAATGTCTATGTTTGTGACCATGTGGTATTATTTCTGCACATTACTACCCACAAGCGCAAAACACAGTGAGAATAAGAGAAGAACAAAATGTTGTGGTCACTTTGTCATGAGAGTTAATAGTTCATCTCAAACATCATTTGCATATTTTATACTTACTGATGATATTTGTTAAGGCTTTGATGTCACAGTTCTTGATGATGGCCTTGGTTGATAAAACAACTTTGATGATGTTGAGATTCAAAGTACACATTTCAATACCTTAATTTTAGCTTTATCTTCACACACATGGTACATTAGATAAAAGTCCTTGTATCCGAATTTAACCATAATTTCCTAGGTTGATTAAATTCTTTACAACGTGGACAAGATCGGCTCTGTACTTCAGAGAAAAATTTAAAGGTGTGCATCTATTTTCTCTTTGTTTTTTTTTTTATTTATGAAGCAAGCAAGTGATAAGGATTTTAAAAAATGATAAAAAAGTTAATGTTTTTAAGTTGAAGGTTGAATTTCTAGTGTTCAAGAGCTTCCTCAGTTGCCAACTTCTTTATGAACTTTATACTAAAGTCAGATATTCATCTCCTCTCTCTAGGAAATGTTGTTAAAGTTGTGTGTCTGCAGTGTGCTCTTTCATTGATGCTGCTTCAGTTTTGCAATGACATTGATGGTTTCCTAACTAAGATGAAATCTTTTGTAGTTCACGTGGTGTTTTTTTTTGTGTGTGTGTGTGTGCGCAACCAATTTACGTGGTGTATGTCGCCTTTTGTTGCATCCACATTTTAGATCTTTTTGCGCACTATACTATAAGTTTATACTATATTTTATATATACAATTCTTTTATTATATTTATATCATATGAAGATTGTATATAAATATAGCTTCACTCTCCAACTTTCTAGCAACCTCGGACAATTTCTCATATATCTCTTTGGTCTCTGGGTGAGACTTGTCTCTTGCTGAAAAACTATGAACCTTGCCATCAATCTCAATCCAACTGCATCCAGGGTGTTTCTCCAGTCCGCTTGCTCTCATTTTTGTCCTCACGTTTGCAACATCTTTCCATCTTTCCTGTTCAGCAAAGACATTAGATACAAGCACAAGATTTCCTGGATTCTTAGGTTCAAGCTCAAGGAGCCTCTGAGCTGCTATCTCTCCAATTTCTCTCTCTGAGTGAGAACGACATGCCGCAAGGAGTGCACACCACACTTCTGTTGTCGGTTCTGTCTTCATCATTTGAACGAATTCATAGGCTTCAAATACACAATTTGCACGGCCCAGCATGTCAACCAGACACACGTAGTGTTCAGGCCATGGTTCCAATTTATATTCATGTTCCATGATCTTGAGAAACCCTTTACCCTCGTCAAGCAGACCTGCATGGCGGCAGGCATAAAGCAGTGCCAGAAATGAAATGTGGTCAGGCGAGATGTTTTCATGCCTCATTTTATTGAACAACTCAACAGATTCTTTCCACAGCCGTGCATTCCGTATGCATTGATCATACTTGTGTATTGCAGTAAACCTTTCCCTTCTATCCGATCGAATACAGCAATTGCACTCTGTAAATCTCCACAGCATGCATACATGTCAACAACTGCAACTGCAATTGACCCCTCTAGGCAAAAACCCTTACGGAGTAAGAAGCCATGAATTTCTCTCCCTCTCTTGAGGACAGATAAACTTGCTGCAGCGGACAGTATACTCAACAATGCTATAGAATCAACCACCAAACCAGTTTCAATCATGCGTCGAAAGAGTTCAACAGCCTCGTTTCCGTTACCGTTATAAGCACTAGACGAAATCATGCTTGTCCAAGAGACAACATCTTTACCTTTCATTGATTCAAATACTCGAGAAGCATAGCCCATGTTCCTGCATTTTCCATAAACATCTACCAACTCATTCTGTATCACAGTATCCAGTAAACCTTTTCTCAAGATGTGACAGTGAATTTCTTTGACAATAATCATGGATTTTAGCACAGTACAAGCTCGAAGGATGCTTCCCAACATCATTTCATCAATCTCCATCACTTTCTCAGCCGCTTCCCTGAAGATTTCTAAGGCCTCTCTATGACAATCATTCTGAGCATAACCAGCAATGACCGTAGTCCACGAAATCAGATCTTTATTATGCATCGCAAGAAACGCACGACCCATATAACTTGTGAGGTTGCACTTTGAATACATATCTATCAACGTGTTCCCAACCTGCAAATTAGAATCCCAGCCATGTTTAATGACGTAAGCATGCAATTCCATTCCTACCAACAGATTGCTCAATCTTCCTGACGCTGCAATGACACTGGTCAATGAAACCTCGTCGGGTATGTGGCCAGAAGCGATCATATCACAAAAGAACTCAAAGGCCTCCTTGTACATGAAATTCTGTACATAGCCCTTAATCAGAGAATTCCATGACACTAGGTCATTGTTGTCCATGTGACGAAGGATCCTTGCTGCCTCAAGCATTTTACCACACCTTGAATACATTGCAATCAAGGCGTTGCATACATATACTTGACAAAAGTGATTTGATTTCAGGACAGCAGCGTGAACCTCTTTCCCTAGCTTTTCATGTGACAAGCCTTCACACGCTGTGAGAGCCGAAACAATACTGTAGCTGTTGGAGGCAGGACCATTCATCTGCATTTCTCTGAATAATTCTAAAGTCTCGGAAGATTTACCAGAGGTGGAATATGAAGACATGATAGAATTCCAAAGAACAACGTCTCCTTTTTCTTTCGATCCGTCAAAGAGACGCCTTGCTGCGTTTAGGTCATCATTCTTAGCATACATGGAAAGCAAAGCATTGACAATAAAAGGTGTTGTTGATAGATGGTGAAGTTTAACGACAAGACAATGAATCTCAGTCCCAGTCTGGATATCTCTAAGTATGCCGCAGGCTTTAAGCAAAGCAGGGAAAGAGTGGAGATGGACAGGGATGCCCTCAGCACGCATTATCCGGTAGACAGAGAGTGCTGAAGCAGGCTTACCATTCGAAACATACACTCCTATCATCGCATTCCAGGCAAAGGCCGTTTTGTGGCGCATTTCGTCAAACACTTTCTCTGCATCAGCCAAAGACCCACACTTGCCGTACATGAAGACAAGCTTACCGGCCAGGAAATCTGATTCAACTGCAAGAGACGTCTTGAAGATGAGCGAATGAAGCTGGCGACCTAGAGAGAGAGGCGCTCTCGTTTTTCCGCAGAGCTCAAGGATGTAGCAAAACGCTTCGACGAGAGAGTAATCATTGCTGCTGGCGTTCAGCCGGTGAAAAACATCGTCTAGGCCTACAGCGATCGCTTCAACGGGAGAGTAATCATTGCTGCTGGCATCCAGCCGGTGAAAAACATTGTTTGGGCCTACAGCGATAGAAGTGACTTGGACACTGGGAGATGGGTTTGTCTGAACTCGGCTCAACACGGGACGGCATGATATTGATGGCTCTGTCAGGATACTATAATGAAGACGAGGAAAACAACAGCAATACGTTGGATTCGAAATTTCACATGGGACAGTGAAATTTTTGCTCACTAGTCTCATTTCTACATTTCTTTCTTTCTTCGATCCTGGAGAAGCATTTTGTCCCATTTTGTCCAAAAAGGCTGAAGACTCTTATTTAAAGTATAGCTTCCCTTTCTAAATTATCCCATTTTGTCGATGTGGGACAAACGGAAATGACCAGCTTTTTAAAAAATGTCATGGGTATTGATGGGCTTGAGCCTTGAGTTAAATAATTTTGGGCTACAGTATACATCTTATTCTCTCTCTCTCTCTCGTCGGTGCGGTGAAGGAAAGCCGAGAGCGAGATCAAATTAACCCTAGCGACGAAGATGCCGAAGAAGATGGGAGTCAACAGCAAGGCGGAGGTCGCCAAATCCCGGAAAATTGCCGCCGAGGCCGAGCAGAAGGATCGCCAGACTCGGGAGAAGGAGGAGCAATACTGGCGCGAGGCCGAGGGTCCTAAATCCAAGGCGGCGAAGAAGCGGGAGGAGGAGGCAGAGAAGAAGGCGGAGGCTGCCGCCAAGAAAGCGGAGGCGCGGCGTCTGGCTGAGCAGGAGGAGAAGGAACTGGAGAAGGCTCTGAAAAAGCCGGACAAGAAGGTGAATCGCGTCTCCGTGCCGGTCCCTAAGGTCACCGAGGCGGAGCTGATCCGAAGGCGCGAGGAGGAGCAGGTGGCGCTGGCGAAGAAAGCGGAAGACTCTAAGAAAAAACAGACACGCATGGCCGGGGAAGACGAGTACGAAAAGATGGTCTTGGTGACCAATACGAATCGAGATGATTCCCTCATCGAGGCCCATAGCGTTGACGAGGCGCTCGCACGGATTACTGTCTCAGATAACCTGCCCGTTGATCGGCACCCGGAAAAAAGGCTCAAGGCTTCCTTTAAGGTTATTTTATCCATTCTCTGGTGCCCTTTGCTTTTATGCTCCTGTGGTGGCTTACTACTACGTTTGATGCTCTCTGATTTCGTAACATTCGCAACAATTCCGTATAGCGATGATGTATCCTTTTCCTGGCTTCATTTCTCATGTCTAAGCTATTGCATACTTGCCATATTCCAACTAGAAAAAGAAAAGAAACTGAGGTCTAGAGGAAATTCATGGTTTAGCTGGCAATCGTGTGATTAATGGTATTCTGAAGGTCCTAGAATTAACGTCTTTGATGTCTGTTATAGTTTACTAGAGTCTCGGTGGATAAAATGATGTTAGAATGATCACGAGATTGGTGGATTTACATGCTGTGTTGCTGTATTTGTGGTTTTTAGGCTTATGAAGAAGCTGAACTTCCAAGGCTGAAGGAGGAGAAACCAGGTCTTACTCACACGCAGTACAAGGACTTGATATGGAAGATGTGGAAGAAATCGCCAGATAATCCTCTTAACCAGGCAAGTGAAAATCCATCTCACTTTTAGTTAATGATTTAAGAGTAGCTTCTTCAAAATGCGTATGTAGTTGATGTTTTATTGGTAAAGACAATGGGAAGCTGAACTATGCCCTGAACAGGCTGCTGCTGAGTGAAATGCAACTGGTAGCGAAATCAAATCATGGAAAGGTCTCATAAGAGGGAGATGCATGGCAGAGAGAGTATGATGAAGATCTAATGTAAGATACTTCGTGGCATAATTCTGCTCGCCAACATTGCTTGTTGATTGTGCTTTGTGTAGAAACTCTATGATATAGTAAGAAAGACAAATGGAGGAGATACATACATATGCAAAGACCATAACTGCCTTATGTGTGTGTACCTATTATACGTCATCCTGAAAGAGTGTTTTTTTTTTTTTCCTTTTGGTTATATACATCACCAAACAGAGAACTTTATTCTGGGTCAATTTTAAATGATCCAACAAAACTCGCAAATGAAATGGGCCTTTGGATTGTTCCAATGATTGGGTGGCTAAGATTCCTTATCCACAAGAAAATCCAATGTTCCCGTTAACTCTCTCTCTCTTTCTCTTCGGACACAGTCACCTTCGTCTGGTCTTTGCGTCTGGCCATGGATGCTTCTCTCGTAATTAATCAGTCTCTGTCTCGCATCATCAAACTTTCCCCTATTCCCAAATCTAGTGCTCTCTCCCTTCAATCCTTTACGATCAGACAGATCCGGAACCGACTGTGTTTCCGAGCCATATCTGCCGTGCAAAGGAACTACGAAACGGCCTCCTCCGTGGAAGACGATGAGTCGTACGGAGAAGTGAACAGGATAATTGGAAGCCGGATGGCGGGAAGCGGCGCCGCCATGGAGTATCTGATCGAGTGGAAGGACGGCCATTCGCCGTCGTGGGTCCCATCCAGCTACATCGCAGCAGACGTGGTGTCGGAGTACGAGACCCCGTGGTGGACCGCCGCGAGGAAAGCCGACGAACAGGCCCTGGCGCAGCTTCTGGAGTCGACGGAGGGTCGCGACATCAACGCCGTAGACGAAAACGGCAGGACGGCGCTCCTGTTCGTGGCGGGGCTGGGTTCGGACAAGTGCGTAAGGCTTCTGGCGGAGGCAGGAGCCGACCTGGACCACCGGGACATCAGGGGCGGGCTAACGGCGCTGCACATGGCGGCTGGATACGTGAAGCCGGAAGTGGTGGCGGCGCTGGTGGAGCTCGGGGCCGATGCGGAGGTGGAAGATGAGAGAGGGTTAACGGCGCTGGAGCTGGCGAAGGAGATCCTGAAGACGACGCCGAAGGGGAATCCGATGCAGTTCGGGAGGAGACTGGGGCTGGAGAAGGTGATCAGAGTCCTGGAAGGACAAGTGTTCGAGTACGCGGAGGTGCAGGAGATCGTGGAGAAACGAGGGAAAGGCAATGACGTGGAATATCTGGTCAAATGGAAGGACGGTGGAGAGTGCGAGTGGGTGAAAGGCGTACACGTGGCGGAAGACGTAGTCAAGGACTACGAGGCTGGCCTGGAGTACGCCGTAGCGGAGAGAGTGATGGGGAAGAGGATGGGTGACGATGGCAAGACGGAGTATCTTGTGAAATGGACTGATATGGCTGATGCCACGTGGGAGCCTCAGGAGAACGTCGACTCTAGCCTTGTTCTACTCTACGAACAAGAGGCCCAGCCTCCTCCTATTCACGGCCCACCTACTCAATGAGTTCTGTTTTGTTTCTTTCTAATGAATTTGTTGCTTCTTCACTGAAAACATTTTTTTACAAAGAAGCATTTTATTTGACGACTTGATCAATCTTGTTATAACTTGTATACAAAGCTTAGAAACTTAAAAAAAAAAAAAATCACGTTCAGGAGGAGACTGGAAAGCTTCACAGAGCGACGTATTTAAGGTTAGGACAAAGGTTAATAACTTTGATAATACTACTACGATATACCTAATAAATATCTAACAAGAGTTACAAGAGATGATACAAAAAGAAAGAAAAAACACAGTTTGGCGTCTTCTTCTGATTCCTTAAATGGGCGGAGATGAAAAGAAAGAGAATTCAATAAAATGGAAACTATATTGAATGTTGAAATTGATAGGGACAATAATTAAGAAGATTGTTTGCTTTCACCTTCAGTTGCAGCTGTAGCTCTCTCTCTCTCATGGCAACGATTCAATTTGGATCTGAAAGATTACTAGAAATATCTCATGCTCATGCATGATGATGTTATGTGTCACATTAGGTGAGCTGTATCCACATTTACTAATCAATCTAACTCCTCTCTATGAATTAACTACCACATTTCATTTTCAGTCGAACTCTCAATTTAAAACAGTATTATAAAAGGGGATAAAAAAGGGATGAAGACGTCACATTTCCTATGGAAATGTTGTTGTGTTTTTCTTCAATGGATACTCAAGTTTCCGATAAAAGTAAAGTTTGAAAATGTTAGTATTTGTTTGGTTATTAAATTCATTAACTTTTGAAACTTTCCGAGGAAGTAATTTGGGTCCAGAGTAGACCGATTAAAATAAGGAAGTTATGATGTGATTTGGGCCTATGACGTCGGCCTTTTTCCCACCAAAATGAAGAAGTGAAGAAATTAAATGTGTAAAAGATCTAATTTTCAGATCTTCAAAGACATTCTGGGTTACTGTCAGTACAGTTGACTGCATTTCGACCTTCACGATTCCACGCGCTGATTCTCGGGCGTGAGACTCACCTTCCGCCATCTATAAATATGAGCCGTTTGGTGTGTTTGGCCACGCGTGTAAGCGCGTAACGAGGATCATCTAAAAATGGGACCAACTTGCTTGAAAAGAGTTATGAAAGACCCCATACGGCTTCGCTTTTATTACACACTCTCCCAAACCAGTTTCTCTCTTTCTTTTTTTTTTGCGTCTAACGTCTATCGGCAACTATCGCGTTTCGTTCGAAGAAGCGTTTTGTTGTATTGATTATAAGACGTGGTGGACAAAGAAAGAGCCAAAAACGGCACTTTAGCATCTCTGTTCTATTGCTCGCTTGCTCTGTGCCTAAGGAAAACACCTAAAATTAACACAAAAGAGAGAAAGAGAGAGAGAGAGGGACATGCATGCGAAGACAGACTCGGAGGCCACTAGCATCGACGCAGCGTTGTCATGGCCGCCGCGTTCTCCGCCGCGTTCGGCGGTTAGACCTCTATACTACGTACAGAGCCCATCAAACCACGACGTCGAGAAGATGTCATTCGGGTCGGGTTGCAGCCCGTTGGGTTCGCCCTCACACCCACATTATTATCACTGCTCACCAATCCATCACTCCCGCGAGTCATCCACCTCTCGCTTCTCCGACCGTGCCCTCCTCTCCTACAAGTCCATCCGCGAAGGAAGCGTACGCCGCCGATACATCAACAACGCCATAGACGACGAAACGGACGGTGGAGATGACGACGACCCCTTTCGGAATGTGCGCCTCTACGCCTGCTTGATCCTCTCCTTGTTCCTCTTGTTCACAACCTTCTCTCTCATACTCTGGGGTGCTAGCAAATCCTACCCTCCTAAAGTTGTCGTAAAGGTAAATGAATCATATCATATATCACTCCTTTAATTCTTCCACTCGGTGACTCGGCCTGAGTTAATATTAAGACTAGACCCGACTCGTCTAGTGGATCGCTCGGTGGTGTTACTTCATTCCGTTTCACTTTCCTTAAAAGAAACAATCTGGAAAAGGCCAACACTAATAATAATAATAATAATAATTTCAACACTACTTTCTAACGACAACAACACCAACCAAGGAAAAAGAAAAAAAAAAGGGTCTAGAGATTGACAAGCAGCAGTGACGTGCTTAGACTCATCGAGGTTTTAGGCAAATCGAAAAAATATGACCTTTATTTTTATAAATATTAAAAAATAATATCGTCATTAAACACACAATAATACTATTTTAACATATTTTTAATTTTCTATCATATATTATGATAATATTTGTTAATATATGTGGATCCATATCTATAAAAATGAAAGATATCAATAACAATATTATTGTTATAGAGTTTTCAAAAAAATATTCTAATCATATTTACCAAATTATATATAAAAATGTTTAGCTAAAAAAAAATGTGGCCTTCTTATTTCTTTAATTCTGGTGTGGCATTAGGCAGATGCCTAATTTCTAACACTATAGGCACGGCTCTGACAAGCAGACAGACAAGTGTGCAATTGATTTGGTTGGAATGTGATTAGACTGAATATAGAAAAGTGTGCACTTGCAGGGGATGCTCGTGAGGAACTTGAACGTGCAGGCAGGGAACGATCTGAGCGGAGTCCCCACGGACATGCTGTCTCTTAATTCGACGGTCAGGATCTTCTACCGGAACCCCTCCACCTTCTTCGCCGTCCACGTCACTGCTTCCCCTCTCCTTCTCCACTACTCCAACCTCCTCCTCTCCTCCGGTGAGATGGAGAAGTTCACGGTGGGTCGGAAGAGAGGAAAGAGCGTTGTCACGGTGGTGCACGGCCATCAGGTTCCCCTATACGGTGGTGTCTCTGTCCATCTCGACACACTCTCCCTGCCCCTCAATCTCACTCTCATCCTCCATTCCAAAGCATACATTCTGGGCAGACTCGTCACCTCCAAGTTCCATACAAGGATTATCTGCTCCTTCACTCTCAATGCCAACCGCTTCCCCAAACCCATCTCTCTTCTCCACTCCTGTACTCATCACCACTGACACCACGTTACACACTTGTCTGTGTTCTTGGATATAATATGTATCTTCTTGCAATCAACCAATTTCATCCAGCAGCATTGCCAATTGCCACAGACAAATCAAAAAGTGATGGAACTCATCACATATTAGTGTAACTAGATTACAGTTCCACCGCTTTATTAGAGCCAAGAATCTTATATAAAACAAGGCTAAACTCCTAAAACCAAATATAATCAGTACAAAGATTGATTCTATGAGTAGCCTTGACTTTGAAAAGAACCTGCAATCATAATGTGGTTTCTGTCTGAATATATTTTCAGCATCAGAATGACCCCTGGTTCATACTTCTTTTCACTTTTGCAACCAACTATCATCCATTCTACTGCATGCAAGTATTGAATTTCATGAAACGTATTGTCTTTCTTTTCTCCGGATGCGTGATACTTTCATCTCTCGGATCAACATTTTTTTGAATCGTTTGATTTCATGGGCGCACATTTAATGGTGACAGACATAAGTAAAGCAATGGTACAGAGAGACAGAGAGCTAGATTTGTAGTAGTATTGTATCATTCATTGTTCTGTATGTTGTATGATACTCCTCTCTCTCTCTCTTTATATATATATATATACTCTCTCTCTATATATATATATATATATTGCTTCTAGAAGCTATAAAAGAAAGATAAAACAAATAGACGATTGGGTACCATCACCGAAATCAAAATTATGGATTAGACTCCAAAAATGTAAATGCATATGGATTCATGGTTTCATATTTTAGCAGGACCTATGCAGGGGTATGGCTGGCGTCTCCATGTCGACCTTCAGTACCATATCAAAACTCTTAAATCTATCAAAGGTTGCCTCAAAACATTTGATAAATTTAAGTAGATAGGAAGTAATCAGCATCAATCCTAATCGGCCTGAGGCAGTGGCTTTTTCTCTGGTATCTGAACCATTTCCAAAGTTATCAAGTAGTAGAAAATATTGCTACACATTCAGTTTCAACGATTAAACGTTTGAACAGATTAGAGTGGTGATAGGCATTTCACTGGCTTTCATTTTGGGGATGCCTCACACTCAATTAGTGGAATGCTTTTCAAAGACCGTCAGGTTGCAGGGATATTGTCAAGAGTATTAGTGAGTTGTAAGGATGAACTGATGTATAATAAGCACGGTGGTTTGGGTTGGAGTACTCTTTATCTACACTTTAGAGCCTGCTTTTGAGGACAATGTTCACGGCTCAATTCGGGGAGCTAAGGTGTAATGGTTACAAGTGGTAAGTACTTTGCGAGGCCAAAGTGAAGTTATTAGGAAGACTGATGTGGAGAAAGAGGCCCTGTTGGTTCTTGGGTTCTTGATACTCACATCACCTTTCCCAAGGTATTGTATTTGTCTCGTGTAGACTTTAGAGCCAAGCGGTTACAGTACAAGCTGAACAGAGCATACGATATATTTTGTTGTACTTGTGGACCTAGTAAACACAAATTTTATTTCAGAGACTAGGGACCTAATCGACTACCTCGTACCTATTATACAAGTATATGCCACAGACATGGTCTAAGCAGCGCAAGTGGCGCAGGTGCAGCCTTCACCACAGTTGCAGAAGGCCTTGCCCTTGGCGGAGGTCTGGGTCTTGGGGCAGGTGCAAGGGTTGCAACCGCAGTGCTCCCCACACGGGCACAAGTTGTGTCCTTGATCCCCACCAGATGCTTCGCTCATCCTGCACCTACATGGAGTCCAACCACAACCACGTTGTGTTTAAGATGAACAAAACACATCAATCTTAGAGAGGGTATAGAGGAGCAACCTGCAGGAATCGCCACCGGGACAGGGAGCAGGACAGCCACAGCGATCGTTGCAACCAGCGCCTGAGCTTCCTTTACCTGTGTCTGCCATTTCTTTACCTCTTTTAAATTTTCACAATCCACATAATATGCATATGAATTGATTTAGATATAGATGCCGGGGGTTCACGTGGCCTCTGTGTTGGGTGGCATGTGCCATGTGGCAGCTTCTCCTCTAACTCGAGTCGTGACGAAGCCTCATGAGTTCAAACGTGCTACGTAACCACAACACCATCCCAGAGGGCCAGGAAGACATTTTTGGTTTTTAGCAGGAATATGACTTTTTTGGTTTGGATAAATATTACTACTTCCACAGCTACACATATACACTCCAAAAGAAATTGTAAAAAGATAATGGCACACACTTGTGCATTCAAATAGGGTCAATATACTGTAATAATAAATATATATATATATATATAATGTATTCCGATCTTAAAGATTCCAACAAATTAAACAACAGTCCGTCAAAATGGGCAGAAAAGAAAGAATATTGTCCAATCAGTCTCTTTCACCTACCTACAAGGCTACAGTGTCTGGTTTCAGTTGAAGATCTCGCTCAGGGAAGTCCAAGTACCTGAGACAGCAAGAACGAGGCCCAGTAGAACGATCCCTACGTCCAGAGCCCGTTGCTTCCACCCTATTTCGTCTTTGAAGACCATCAGATGAAACAAAGCAGGCAATACGAAGCCCAACGCACAGCAGACGCTGCTGCCAACCAATGACAAGAAATCTGCAAAGTTGGGCACCAAGAGAGCCACCAGGGTGACTGCTAAGACGAGGAGCCACCTGAGCCACACGCAGTACATACCACTCCAGAAACGCCTCTCAACGATCTCATACACAGGGTTCATCATCAGTGGGAAGGTGAAGAAGAGGTTGATGCAGAGTCCCAGCTGCACAAGGATGCTCACCAACCCCGGCCCCAAGTTGGCCGTGATTATGTCCATTGTTTCCTCCCCGAAAGCCATGTAGCCTAACACACCGAAAGCTCCGTATAGCAAGGCGATGAATAGCATGGTGAGAGCCAACACATTGCCAAACTTGTGCTTGTCCTTCATCTCCGATTCGAGAGGCAAAACCATCCCAACAATTTCAAAGGCGTAAACGGCGACTCCCATCCCATAGAAGAAGACGGACATGCCACCAAAGGCAACCACGTCAGGTCTTTGCTCCATTGTAATCTTGACATCCTCCACAATCACCACCGCCATTGCGCCCAGATCAACCACATCGGCGAAAATGCTAAGAGGTGCCAAGTGAGTGAGGGTCTTGATGGAATTCAAGCCCAGCTGAAACGGGAAGCATCCCCATATGTAGAGACTCTTAGGGGACGACGACATCATTAAATGCCGAAGATTCACGGCTGGGTTGAAGAGATTAGCTAAAGTGGTGCCGATAAAGATGAGATACCCGACGCAGAAGCCAGCCTGAGACAAGATTATAAGAATATCAACGAGGAACCTCCCAAGGGGGCCACAGGCGGCGAATCCAAGGTCCCCAAAAGAGCCGATATTGGCGACACCAAGCTTGCGGCGGATGTGAACGAGAAGCATCATGCAGTGGTTGAGCAAAGCGGCGACGCAAAAGAGCGTGAGCACACCCATGAGCCATCCGGTTCGCTTGAAGGCGTAGGGAAGACCCAGAACCCCAGCACCGACGATCGCTATGAAGACATTGGCGAATGTCTTGAACTGGCTCGACAATGCTCTTCCATCCCCGACAAGGGGTGTGTCTTCTCTCGCATTTCCTGTCTCAAAACCCATTCTTGAGATGGGCTCTGCCTCTGGAAATCAAATCTAGATTCGATCGGGGATGAAATGGAGATTTGAGTCTTAGGCAGATATGATGCACGATCCCGCGGCATTCGCTCGCTATTACCCACCCACACCCTTCCCTTCCTCAACAATAAAAATACAAAATCTTTCTATCTATTAAAAGCATCCACCTTCCATTGCGGCTGCTCCAAAAAATCAAAAAAAAACATTTTCAGGTAATGGAAATGATTTCAAGAGAAATTTCACCCGTTTTTTAAATAATTATCTTCCATGGATTCATCTGTACCAGGAATTTTTTTAGTATTTGGTCTCTTTTCTTTACAGAAGGGTCAAATTTTACTCTTGTTCAGAACTAAAATATCAGTCAGGTCTCTCAAGTTAGCAACTCTAGCAATGAGAATACAATAGCTTGAACAAGAGATGATTACAAGTTGAATGCTTGAAGCAAGTACTATATATATAACACCAAAAAAAAGCTACAACTTTTTTTTTTCTTCGCAAACTCGGTTCCAAGTCGTCCTCTTTTAATTGCAGAGGTTGGTGATATTACAATCCCAACATTCATGACGGTGAAGCATCTCCACCATCTATGGGGAACAGTGACTCTGAAGCAAGAATGTTCAATAGTGTAGGTAAGTGTTAATGCCAAATCTATCAAGGTTTTTGTTTTAACTATCACCAGCTCTTGTAAGACTGATGAACTTCTAAAATTCTGTCTGGGGCCTTGTCTCATAGTTCCCTTCATCTTTCTCCTCTCATATACTCTTACTATTGTTGCATTGCTTATTCGTCTCCAGCTATTGCATCTGCAAACTAAGAGCCTTTTCTAGCTGAAGAAGTAACTGAAGAAGATGCTATTGCTTATGTCCAAATTATGTTTCCTGCACTTACAACAAATGAAATGCAAGAGCATATGAGACTTGAAGAAAAATTTGTCTTACAAAAATTATTTGCATCAAATACTTGAGGGGTTCAGCTTTAAGTGAGAACCCTAATGAGGGGGCATTGTGCAAAGGTTATGGAGTTAGTTTCTGTTAACCAAATTATGAGAGAGCAATAAAGATCATCTCTTCTTATACAAGATACTAGTACTAACTACTTTACTAAAGATGAAGGTAACTATGAAACAAGACCCCAGACAGAATTTGAGAACTTTTTACATGTGTTGCTTGGGCCCCCAAAGAAAACTCTTATACAATGATAACCTCTTTACAGTGATGGATGAGAAAACCATAAAACTCGAGAGGATGTATCCTTTATGAACCGAAAAAAAATTATAGATAATGATGACTATTTTGTTAACAAGATAATCGGATTCGCTTTATTCATCAAACGTATAGTAAGCATTGATAAAAAAAAAAGGGTAGAGATCATAAACAACCAAACATACACTATTCAAGCAAGTAAAAAGACTTGCACGAAGGGGCAACAAGTTTAACCCTCTTGTCACAAAATTCTTTAACTTATCGTTGCATTCTCTGATGGAATCTGGAAGGAAAAGGAGCTGATGGAGAGAGTCAGAGAGACAGAGCCTGCGCTTGAGATTGAGATGAAATATGTTCTTCTTCTTCTTCATTTTAAGTCTGTAATCAGCAAAACATGTTCTGCTGCTTCACTGCCAACAGAGAAGTAAGGACCAAAATTAAAGAGGCATTACTTAACTCTTCTCTCCAAAAGAAATGCTACTGTCAAATTCCTCCTCCGCTTAGCATTTGGTATTCTTGCGCAGCTTGAAATCTATTACTATTATTATAAGAAAAGGTGCAAAAGGCAAACTTATTTTTCATTTTATTGAGAAGGAACATAAGAATTTCAGAAAAACCAATGCATTTAGATAAAAAAGAAACACTATAGGGAACACCCATTCCGGTAACACCAGGTTCAGAGATGGGTTTCAAAAGCTCGTACTTAACAACACCAGCTTATCCAGCTTTATCTTTAGAGAAACATTCACGTTCCTCTCATCTATGATCTATCACTCCTTCTAGATATTGGAGCTTACCTTTGAATCGTTCATATGCAGCATAGATGACAGGATCGTTGGCCCAAGATGCTTCTGGCTCTTTTCCTAGGTACTCTTCGTCAGGTGAATGGGTCGATAAAAGATCCATGGTCACCATCACTGCGTCGCCTGCCTCTGCAACGAGAATGTCTTAAGCATCACCTTCTCTGGCTGCTCATAGAACTCTTTTAGCTTTTTTTCTGTCGGCTCTTCCACTGGCATTCTTATCCTTGCTGTGGTTGATCGGTTTGGAAAGTATCCACCATACCCGTACTGTCCAAATTTACAGCTGCATGGTGACCGGAGGCCACCCACACAATCGACGCTGATCAAGTCATCTTGTGTTTTGATGACAGGCCACCATGGTTCGTCTCTCTTGTCTCCATGACCTATGTTCCTCACTTCACTCCACCATCCTTGGAGTTCCTCATCTAACATGATCAGTCCTGCATTGATAGTGCTTCACATAATCTGTTATCCATTCCTTTAGTGCATCCCACAGCATTAGACCGTCATTCGCAAATGGGTAGTCTGGTATCATCAGCCGTACCCCATGTTCCGCGGTCTCATCTTCCACTGCCAGTCCTCTGTATTTTTTTTTTTTGTGTGTAAAAAACAAAATATGTTAGCTCAATTAATCTGTGGTGATAATTTATATAATTAATATTACTAACAAAACAATATGAATTTAACACCTGCTGATGAGGTCTGCAGGTAAACCTTCCCTGTCGAACCTCCAAAGTTTACTATAGATGTCTGTACTTAGCTCTATTGAATACTTTCCAAACCAGAAACAAGACTCAATGATTCCACCTGCGTTGATGAGACTTTGGCGTGCACGAGCATTGATCTCCATGGTGTAACGGAAGTGGGGATGCAAAAGCTTATAGATAGGATGCATGGCACTAAGTTCTCTGTTTGCAGCTATTATGTATGGCTCCATACAACAGTGAGTTCTCAGCCTGTAAAATTTTCTAGTTAGCGATAACACATACATGTGTAATGCCTATGCAGTTAAACCAAATTTTGTTGTCAATAAAACAAATATATGTATGTATTTAAATGGTCGAATTTGTTCACGAATACCAGTGGGAAATAAGCTGGTGATAACCGACATCATGAGCAACAGCATGAGTCTTAGCAAGACTCCATAGCCAGCAGCAGGTAGCATCATAGCCTAGCGTGAAGACCTGCTTCCATTGGGGCCTGTTGACATCTGGGGGGCGACTGGCAAGTCAACTCAATGGCAACAGGCCTCAATGTGCTATTATCGCTGAGGAAAAATATTGTTCGAGATGCATATAAGGAGCTATCATCCAACTCTCTCACTTTGTTCACATACGGTAGAAGCAAATCATGATAGTCCAACATGAATAATCTTTTATTCTTTAGAGCCTGCATACACCCATCAATACATATTATTTATTTATTAAGGAAAATCATCCATGTGCGTTTTTTTACCTGGCGATATTAATTATCTTAATATCATCAACTGACATGACTCCTCTGATTTCTATTTCCACAATTTCCCAAGTAATGAGTGAGTTGGGATCACCATAAACCGCAGGGTCTAATTTTCTTTTCAACGGCCATTCCTAGAACAACAATGCCATTGTCTTAATTAGGTTCTTTAATATATAAAACACAAGAAACTGATTATTCGAACTAAAATAGAACGAAATAGCTTACTTGAACTAGCTGAATGGAATAGGGGTTAAGTGCTGCAAGTGTCTGGCGAGCGAACTCGTCGTCTCGGATACATGAAAATCTATCCTCTGAATTAGTGTGAATGATACAAGAAAGTGAGATTAATTAATGTAGATAGTATAGAATTGAAATAAAATAAATGCTGGACTAAAGAGGAGAGAGGGTGGCTTGGTACTGTTGAGGAGAATAGGGGGATCAATCTGGAGAAGATCATCTTGAGCTTCAGAAACAGCTTTGATAAGTTTGGGGATCACAGGTAAAAGGCCTACATCCTTGGGAAGCTCGATGCCTACTTAAAAAAGATATTTTATAGATTTGAAGTGTGGGAACACAGAAGGAAGAGCTGCCAAGATGGCTTTAGAAAACTCCTCGTCTCTAGGGACATAGAACTCCCCATAGCGTTTCTCTGAGGAGGGGTCATTGTCACAGGGTTTGCGACCAGTCTTGCAGCGCCTTGGGTACCGATGAGAAAGACCTCCAATAACGGGACGGGCATGTTTGGGGTCTTTGTCAGGGTCACCAGATCGTTGTACACGTCATAATCGTAAACGCGCTCGAACTTGTTGAATTCACCAACTAACTCGCGGTTCTTTCCCTGTAAGGTCTTCAGCTCCTCCTTACGCAGCTGTTTAAGAGGCTTCGGGGTTTGAGAAGGCAAATAGCACTTGTTGGAGAAGAATATTCGCTTGGCTCGGTCAACGGACTTGGGGGCCACCCACGAATTACATGTAAACGTAACGGAACCGTCGGGTAACTGAGCTCCA